GGTAACGTAATCGGACACCGAGCCGGCGCGACACCGAGCCGGCGGCGGTCTGCCGCCGCCTCGCTGACTGCCTCGCTGGCCGCTTCCTAAGGCTATTCAACCACCAAAAAAAGGCTATATACATCAATTCTTGTTGTTTTCATGAGGGCATTTTAAACGATTGTGTCCTTCACTTCCACATATACTGCAGCGGGCTGGCCGGCGTGCCCTGGCCGGCCTCGGTACTGCGGCCTGAATTGCTTCATTTTCTCGCATCTGAGCTATATCAAAGCCCTCTTGGCCTGTTAAAGTGCCTCCCTGCTATATATAACGGCGTGAGGCCTTTCCCTTTCCTTTTTTACTCGCTTGTATAGATTGGAACTGCTTAATTTGTTGTTGAAGCAGGACTGCGTTCTGCATAGACTGTTCCGCAGCCTTAATCACCTTTTTAATAACTTCGTGTGAAACTATTAACGCCAGGCCTTAATCTGCAAGTTCTTGTATTTCTTGTCTCTGCCTTCCGAGTTCATATAAATTTGCAGGCGTTTTTCCAAGATAGAAAGACTGATTAGAATGCGAGGATGTTGGTGGAGTTGGTGTTTTTAATTAAATCCGTAGTGTTGAAAGCACCTTTTGAGGATTCAAAGGAACGAGGCCGGTGGCACGAAATCCACTGAGTATGTTAATATTGGAGAAGGCCTTGGCGTGGACACTGTGATATAACTGTAAGAAATCAAGCTTAGTGATTGATTCCTCTCCATAACGAATAGCCTTAGATACACGCTGGCCATATAACTTTTTTAATAGCTCAAAGCAAGCGACGTCAAGTGGCTGCAGTTTATGGGACGAGTGGGCAGGTATATATAAAGGAATAATTTTCCGCGCTGTATAGAACTGATCAAACTGCTGAGTTGTATGACTGCCATGGCTGTTAAGAATCAACATACGATACTCGCCAACAGTTTTTGAAGCCGTATACCGGTCAAACACGTTCTGAAGCCAGTCAAAACCAAGCTTATTGGTAGTCCAGCCATTCTCGCTGACACTCAGATGATAAGATCTTGGGCAGACTTCGTACTATGTCGATTGATAATTCTGCGCTGCAAAGATAATCTGCGGTGGTAGGACTGTTCCTGAGGCTGATATTGCAACAATTGAAGTCACCCATTCGCGGTTTCCTGGCTGTATACACTTCGCACGCGATTCTCGTGTTTCCGAGCCACAGATTACACGAGCGGTTGAAGCAACTCCCATCTGAAATCCAGTCTCATCCATATTCCATATATCTTCATCAAGAATGCCATATCTTTGGACTGTATTGCGAACAAGGTCGAACCATCTCCGAATAAGATAAGGATCCTCGCATTTAGCACGTTGATAATTATACTTTGACGTGAATTTAGACGTCAGTTCCGGATGACGTTTGATATAGCGAGTAATCCAACGTTCTGATATAGCACCGTGTTGATTTGGCTTCAACTTTGCTTGATATAGCAGCTGGGCGGAGAATCAAGCATCGCAGATTTTAAGAGGCAGTCTACGGTGGGCCATATCAAGAAGCCACTGCTTTAACGTGTTTTCCTCAATTGTAGATAGCTTTCTACTATTAGCATCTTTTTCCGTACGTGATTTGATGCCATTTAAACGATCTTTAAAAGTGCTTATCTTGACGTCAAACGCGGCAGCGCAGGCAGCCTTTGTAGAGAACTTCCCACTCTCAAAGGCCTTAACGGCGAGATTTAAACGTTCATTTAAATCGGCCATATTGATATACGAAAAGAAACACCAAAGAAATCACAAAATATTGCGAATAGGGCAATTTGGGAGAGTTCTTCGACTTCAAGATGTTAAGGGTGCAAGACGCGGCGCGGCGGGCGCCGGCTCGGTGTCGCGCCGGCTCGGTGTCCGATTACGTTAGCTACGTTGCATAAAAGATGTCATCAGTTGCATCATCCAGCACCAGTTGGTACATGGTTGAGGCATCTCTTCCCCGCTCTCACAACTATTGATCTTTGTTTCATACCATCTACTAGGTATCTGATTGCGGACTGCAGTATTATGCTTGGAACTTGGCCTGATATTAGCGCTTCGCAGTGGCGTTGATCTCTCATGCTCGTACTCAATAGCATATCGCCTGATCTCAACGTTGAAGACCCACCGGAGGCCAACAAAGTGATCCGCTCCCTTGACTTTCACAACTTATCGGCCTATTCACTACTCCTTGTTGTGATGTTGTGATTCGTGATCCCCACTAAACAACATGGACATGATCTCTTTCCTGCCCTCATTCGGTCAATGGAGACCGTGGGGAGATTCCAAAGTCTTCAAAATCTCTCCGGTTGAAGTGCATGAGATTGATACGGCCCAAGAGAAGCCTGCCCGTGCTCTAAAGCATCTACTTAAACTGAACCACGCCAACTACGCTTTCTTGTGGAATGAGCGCAAATTCCACAACCATGCACCTCATGTTTGTCACTTTATAGTCAAGGCATAGTCCGGTATTGTACTGATTGGCACAGATCCTCAGCTCAGCCTTCCTGCAAGGCGCAGATGCGGATGATTTAAATCGTATATACGAAAACGAGTCCAAATCTCTCGATCCCTGGGAAGACTCTCCCGGCGAGATCAGTACTTATGACTGGCGGGACTATCTTTCGCGCCGAGAGTAAGTCGCCAGTCAAGTCCTTGGTGCAATGGCTACTCTTGCTGACCATCTGTCCCAGATACCAACGCGCGTTTGTAGACTTCTTCGAGGATGAACTCGTCCGTCATAGCTATGACTGGAAAGAAGTCATTTCTCAGTACCTTTTGTCAGGCAAAGAACCGTTGTTCAGCTCCCTTGTTGCAGATCGTACGTGGCAGCCTCAGACCCTCTCTGCTCTACATCTCTAATATGACATAGTCGGACACCCCCTGATTCACCTCGCGTATGCTTTCGAGATGTCCAGTCGCGAGGTAGCTATGGAGGCACTGGGTATGGCCGCTACCTGCTACGGTAGTATCCACAAATACCTCGACGACCCATCCTACTCTAAGATCGAACCCTCCTACCACACCACTTCTCTGTTCGAGGTCCTCGCCAAAGTCCGGGCTGACAAGCACTTCGACAATCTCTTCACCACATCGGGCGAGGAAAACATCGAAGTTCTCTTCCGCGACCACGAAGCGGCCCTCCTCAATCACTGGAATGCATGGACGATTCAAGATCCCGTCACTCAGTTCCGCGAGAGCCAGGAAGTGGCTGCGGCGCTGCTGACCGCCACGGTGTCCGCCGCCCACCCCAAGTACGACTTCTTCCTCGTGCACACTCTCACGACGAGCCACGCCGTGCGGATCCTGCTCCCCCTCATTCCAGGGAAGTTCCAGATGGCGTTGGTCCGGCAGTGGTGGCTCATGACGCTGAGTGTGTATGTCGCGGGGCTTCGACCGGAGCTAGATCTTGAGAGGGTCAAGGGATACGAGCTCAAGGGCCGAGATTGGAAATGGACGGCACACAAGGCCGTCAAGGGGCAGTACTCGACGGACGCACACTACGTCAAGGCAATCCGGGCTTTGAGAGAAGCGGCCAATACGTGGGGCGATCCGGAGGAATTCTACCTTCGGGCGGCTGTTCGGTTTGCAGATGAGTTCGATGACTGGGCATTTTGAAATGGGAAAACAGGATATGGGACTCTGAGATTATCAAATTTGGTTGCGGTTTTGTTCTCCGGTAGTTCTGGTTCTATGGGGATATGACATGATTTATTGGCTGGGTTTTCTTTTCGGTGGGAGCTTGTGCCTCTAACCCAGTCTGGTGTACCAATTTGGCAATTTTTTGTTCTATAGTTTCAGTATCTCTAAATTGAGACATCGTGCTTGCGGCATAGTTTCGTGGATCTCTACTCCGTACATACTCTGAATCTCCATTGTACGCAGGCCTCAGGCACCAGCAAAGACACAGACCGCCTTACAGACCGCCTTTTGGTGCCAGAATGCTCCAAACCTTCAGCCGAAAACCACGGACATAAGCGGAGATAAGTAACAGCCCATGAAATCCAGTCCGCGAAACTGTTCACATAGGCGGTGGCAGAAAGAGCCCACTAGCACCACCCAAATCAAAGCGCAGCGTCTCAACAGCTTCCACCACTAATTTTCGTTATCAACCTTCCAAAAGCAACCTTGTGGACAGACAGCATTGAATTCTAATACCACCACCACTATCAACCTTTCTACTAACACAGAAGTATACTAACGATAAGGGATCTCAACTACCTCAAAACCGGGGGAACCACACACCCCCCCCTTCTGCACAATAGAAAAAGATGCAACCGACGCCAGGGATAGCCGAAGACCAAAACCAGAACCACAACCAGAACCCTCTGGTCTACCTCCACGCCGAACTCCTCCCACATATCCGCCACATTACCCTCTATGTCTCTGTTCCTGCCGAGGACAGCGACGCCCAATCGGAAGAAACCTCTCGCACATCAGTGAGGGAAACAAAGGGAGATGTGCAACTCACACTCTCCGAATCCCGCCGCGCGGTGTCAGTGTCGGTATCCGTGACACCGTCGGTCTCGCCACTGTTTTCCGGCAGTGGCGACGACGATGCCTCTTTGGCGAGGAGAGCAGCCGAGCCAGCGACGGAAACGATGAAACTCCCCGCGCGTGTCACGGAGGGCGCAAGATATGTGCTTCGCGCACCGCAGTGGCAGCACACCCCTGAGGGGCGGCGGGAGTCGTCGTTTCGGATGCAGGTTGACGCCGATAATGGGGAGGGACTGTTGGCGGGGAGTGGGGAAAAGGAGGAGCCGGTGGGCGGGTTTGTGCCGTGGAGGGCGCCGGATATGCGGTCGGGGACGAGGGTGAGGTGTCGCGGGTGTGAGAGGGTGGTTCTGGATCAGCCTTCACGATCGGCGGGGTGGGTGTGGAAGGATCTGCCGAGTGGGAATTGGGCTGAGATGATGGATTTTTGGCACTGCCATAAGCCGGATCCTGAGGTTGGTCATGATGGCCATGATCTTGCAGATGGGGAGGGCGAGGGTGGCCTTAATGCCGGGGATGAGCGGCGGCGGCAGCAGCAGCAGCAGGGTACAAAACCAGGTGAAGGTCGACCGGATGATCCAAATGCAACGGTCAAAGGGTATGGGGCTGCGAATCAGGTCGTGGCTACCGTGGGCACGATCCTGGTGGATGTCGCGACGTTTCTGGTGGCGGCGGAGGATTGTTTGGGGGTGAAGAAGGTAAGAATCTCTGTTTCTTTGGTTGTGGTCTTTGGGTTACTTCGTGAGATGGAAAGCTTTCTGCAAGGCTTGGTGTCTCAGTCAATGAGGGCAACAAGAAGGAGACCTTTTTCTGGCCTGTTTTCCTCCGTGGTATGGTCTCCGATACAATTGCCCGACATTAATCATGGGCCTTGGTCCCTTTTTCTTTCAAGGTGCAAGAGAAGCAGGAAGGGGGGACTACTGATGGCTGTGCGTCGCTGGTTGTCCTATATGATGGTGTAGTCATCCTCTTCTCTCCCTCGAGGTAGGAGATGGATTTCGCAGTATCATTGTGGCACCGGCTTTGCTTGGTCGTCGGTAGCTTCCTCTGAGGGCTTCGTTATGGGATCAAGGCTGGCGCCCTCGCAAAAAGTTCCTTCGTTGCCTGTTGATCCTGAGTTCGATGGGAGGCGACGTGATCATGGCGAGGTACATTCGTGGTGTGGTATTATACATGGAATTAGTTTAGACCTATAGAACATGCAACTTGACTTCATGCTGGCCTATTGCGAAGCACTATCTTTCTATGCCGCTTCCTTCTCCCTCTACTTGCCGTTTTATCATTAAACCCTGCTAATAGATCAAATTGAAAATCTCTTTAGGACCCGGACTCAGATGATATCCGCTGTTGCAGTTGTAATACATTACTCGGCCAGGTCGACCTTACAGCCAAAGGCTGGAGACTCTTCAAGACCGCTCTCTCGGCCACGGCGAAGACTGGTACCGAGCAATTGGAGTGGGAGACTCACCCCATCGAGGTCATCATCGCCGCCCAGCTCCTGGAACTAGTCGAACGAGAAAGCGCCCGCCGCTTCGTTGTTCACTGCGGACATAGCAGTGGATTATTGGTACGTTTTCCCCAGTCTCCCCTCTAGGAAGTCATGGTCGTTCCTCTCAGACGTTTTCAAGCGCATGCTAAACTCCTTTTTCTTTTGGGAAACAATCAGATCTGGGTCTTCAACCCCGACATGCGGTATTCCAACTCGAGCGCCCACCACAGCATCGCCGCCCAGCGAGCGATGAAGGTGTTCTTTCAGCGTCTCCACAACGTGGAGCAGACGCTACACCCGGAGGTCGGGAAGCCGTCGAGCACGCTGGCATTGGAGGAGGTACAGCTGCCGGAGGAGACGTATCGGGCTTTCGAGGAGGTGCTGGACGCGCGGAATGCGATGCTGCCGGTGTCGGCGAGGGTGTTTAGGGAGTGGAGGGTGGGGGTTTTGCATCGGTTGCAGCGACGTTGATGTATCTGTTCTTGGTGGAAGGGAGGTGTGGGTGGATGCTTTTGTACGGCGGATTGATGCTGGGCTTACTGGGGGATTGCGATACCCTTGATATAGTTATGAGGTGCATTTACATATGATGTGTACAGGTTACAGTGCCTGTTCATAAGAAATCCTTTATCTAATGACGAAGCTGTTGTAGAGTAGTTGTGTACACAAGCTACTTCATAAACAGAATCTGGTCGAGTAGAACTAAGTACAGCTTCAAGAAGTAACACCTTATAACCCTTGGGGCAAATGGTTAGCTTTGTACGTATAATTCAACATCATGCATAGCAGAAGTTGTAGCACGCAAAAGCACCACAGTAAGTCTCTTGTCAAACTGCAATACAGTGGTCAAGATGAGAACGAACAATCAATCGATTTTCTATGTACAATGGTGGTGACAATTGTCCCAAATAGGCTATCAATAACTAGCGGCCGATCGCGTGAATAGTGAATAGCGCAATTGATGCCTCGGGCCGTGCAAGGCTATCCGCTGGAACGATCGGCTTCCCATCCCCCCTGTTTCGAATCTCCCTCACACACCCACACACAGAGACACTCTCCAAACTGCTTTTTCCCAATGTCATAGATTCTGTCCTTTTCTTGACTTTGCTAGACCGTCAACCGGCCCAGAGACTTCCAAGCCAGCTGAGATTTGTTGTCCACCTCTCGATCGCAACGAATGCCGATCCACCTTCACCGATAGCGATCCCCCGAGCTTATCAGCCTCCTAGCTACCCCAGCCATCTGTCCTGTCCTACGTGTCTCGCACCAACGCATGTGTCTTTCCCACGCCTACTGATTCACATCTGAATCCCGCGCCCTCCCATCATGGGGACATACGCCGATGATGGAAACCCGGAATTCCTGCCAATGAGCCGCTCGAGGACTGCCTCTCAGTCATCCTCCGATTCGGACCTCTCCGTCGACACCCCGTTCCCCGACGAATCCAAATTCACAACCACCCACCTGAACAATCCCTTAAAGTCCAGTTCAGCCGAAGATGCGAGATACCGAGACGTGGAGGAAGGCGAACCGCAGCCCGACGAGCCATTCCTACCTTCGTCGCAAAAGAAATCGGCAGCATCCACCGGACGCCGGACCTCGCGTATAATCTGGGCATTGGTCATCCTGTGCGTGGCAGGTTGGCTTTGGGGGCTGGCGCTGTTCGTGACGCAGAAGCGGTCCGGCGACCTCGCTGTCTCCGAAGCGCTGCAGTCGCATGATTCCAGCCCCTTTTCGGACAGCACGAGTTCCGGAAAGCCTGTCACGCTGGAGCAGGTGCTCAGGGGACAATGGCAACCTATGTCGCACGCAATCTCCTGGATCGCAGGTCCCGACGGTGAAGACGGCTTGCTGGTGGAGCAAGGAGAAGGCGAGGGCAAGGCTTACCTGCGCGTGGAAGATATCCGCAGCCGCAAGCAGGATGTCAAGAGCCAGGAAAGTCGGGTGCTGATGGAAAAGCCCACCGTGCATGTGGATGGGCGCGATATCTTCCCCGCCATGACATGGCCCAGTCCCGATCTCAAGAAGGTACTGCTTCTGTCGGACCGTGAGAAGAATTGGAGACATTCGTTCACGGGCAACTACTGGATTTTCGACGTCGACACCCAAACGGCGCAGGCGCTGGATCCCAGCGAACCCAATGGACGCGTCCAGCTCGCGGTCTGGTCGCCTGCTTCGGATGCTGTGGTTTTTGCCAGAGGGAACAACCTATATCTGCGGAAGTTGTCGTCGGATAGGGTGGTCCAGATCACGAAGGACGGCGGCGCGGACCTTTTCTACGGTGTGCCTGATTGGGTTTACGAAGAGGAAGTCATCTCCGGTAACAGTGTAACCTGGTGGTCTAGCGGTGGCGAGTACCTCGCGTTCCTTCGCACCAACGAATCCTCCGTGCCTGAATTCCCAGTCCAGTATCACCTCTCGAGACCCTCTGGAAAAGAGCCGCTCCCGGGACTCGAAAATTATCCGGAAGTGAGAGAGATCAAGTATCCCAAGCCCGGCGCCCCCAACCCTGTTGTGAACTTGCAATTTTACGACGTTGAGAAACAACAAGTATTCACAGTTGACATTCCCGGCGACTTCAGTGATGAGGATCGTATCATCATTGAGGTGGTCTGGGCGGGTGCAGAAAAAGTCATTGTGCGCACCACAAACAGAGAGAGCGACATCCTCAAAGTCTTCCTAGTTGACACAAAATCCCGCAGTGGTAAGCTTGTTCGAACTGAAGACGTTGCAAGCATCGACGGCGGCTGGGTGGAGCCATCCCAGTATACCAGGTTCATTCCCGCTGATCCAAGCAATGGCCGGCCACATGATGGTTATCTCGACACTGTGATTCACAATGGCTACGACCATCTTGCATACTTCGCGTCCCTCGATAACTCCGAGCCAGTCATGCTCACCACAGGTGAATGGGAAGTGGTTGAAGCTCCTGCCGCCGTTGATCCCCACCGAGGCGTCGTCTATTTCATTGCAACAAAAGAAGCTCCTACCCAGCGCCATCTATACCAAGTCAACTTCGATGGATCCAACCTCAAGGCTCTCACAGATACCTCCAAACCAGGCTACTACGATGTTTCCTTCTCTCAAGGTACCGGATATGCACTGCTCAGTTACAAGGGCCCCTCCATTCCATGGCAGGCAATTGTCAATACCGAGACAGACGAGATCATCCTCGAAGAAACCATTGAGGACAACGCCGGCCTCGCTCGTATGGTTGAGACATACGCCATTCCGACGGAGATCTACCAAAATGTCACCATTGACGGCTTCACGCTTCAGGTCGTCGAACGTCGCCCCCCTCACTTTAACCCGGCCAAGAAATACCCCGTCCTCTTCTATCTCTACGGCGGACCCGGCTCACAAACAGTCGATCGTAAATTTACCGTTGATTTTCAGGCATACATCGCCTCCAGTCTGGGCTACATAGTCGTCACTGTTGACGGCCGAGGCACGGGCTACATCGGCCGCAAAGCACGATGCATCGTCCGCGGCAACTTAGGCTTCTATGAAGCTCACGATCAAATCGCTACGGCCAAGATGTGGGCCCAAAAGACCTATGTTGATGCAACCCGAATGGCGATCTGGGGCTGGAGCTATGGCGGATTCATGACCTTGAAGACACTCGAGCAAGACGCAGGACAAACATTTCAATACGGCATGGCTGTTGCGCCTGTGACCGATTGGAGATTCTACGGTACGTGTCCAAGTTCCGAAGACAAGGTTGACCCTCACATTGACAATGTATCAAACAGATTCTATCTACACTGAACGCTACATGCACACCCCCGAACACAATCCCACGGGATACGACAATGCCTCCATCACCGACATGTCTGCACTCCAGGAAACCGTGCGATTCCTTGTCATTCACGGCTCCTCAGACGACAACGTCCATCTCCAGAACACTCTTGTCTTGGTTGATAAGCTGGACTTGGCTAGTGTCGAGAATTACGATCTGCATGTGTACCCGGATTCGGACCACAACATTGCGTTCCACAACGCGCACACCATGGTCTATGAGCGTAAGTTGACCCTCCTGTCCCACGGTTGCTCTTGAGAGAAACACTAATTTGTCCAAAGGTCTTTCGAGCTGGCTCATCAATGCATTCAATGACGAGTGGCATCGTATCGATCACCCAGTGCCTGATGAGTCGATGTGGAGTAGGGTCAAGCGCTCGTTGCCCATTTTGGCACATTAGCTAGATTACGGGGCTCTCTGTCGGCTGGCGTTCTTCGGTTCATATGAGAGATATCTCAAATTGTCCTTTTTTCTTTCTTTGTATAGACGTACCGGAACAAATGGATTGGTTTCCTCCAAGCTTCTTTTCGTCCTCCGGCGATCCACACCCTCTTGTGTGATCATGATCCTTCCGCCACGCTCATTCTACCAATCATCCGAGAGAGGAAAATTTCGAGAGAGAAAAGAAACCCACTCTCGGTGGGTCACGATGGTTTCCACGATCGAAGGATGGCTTCGATGGCTGGGATTGGAGGACAAGGCCCGCCCTATGCAAGGGCCACAACACCTGCGTGCCGCGCTGCATGTGTCGCTTATCATTGCCGGGTACGATCCTAGCATTTTTGAGGGAGAACTGGAGTCAGTCGGGTGGGATCGGCTAGACCGTATGTCCCGTAGACGGGCCGTATGTCAGTCAAGATCTATCCGCTCGGATATCACATCCAGAATCTCGTGAATGGCTCGAGATTAGCTGATGGGGACGCACACTGACAAGAGATCTGGGAAGTGGGCGACGATGGGTCGTGGTAGTTGCATGCACTTCGTTGTTTCAGAGAAGGAGAAAGGGGGATAATGACTGCCTCAGGCCGAGCACCTCCTGTCAGGCGCCTTCCCTTACTGAACCCAGTCCCGTACTTCATGGAAGAATGTATAGAGAATCCCACAGTAACCATCCTACTACTGAGCATTCTCGCTCACTCACTCGCACTCTACCTCCCTCGGACTCTCCACTGACATCCCTTGAGGCATCTGTATGATATGCTTTTTGATCCTTCATTATCGTACACTGAGAGATGAAATATACCCTTCCCCACCACCGCTGACTGCTGTAGAGGGATGGATGCGAGAGAGCCGCCTTCTCTCTGCTGAAGAGCGCTCAGTCTCCTGCCTCTTCCATCCGGCCCCAACCGGTGTCACAGACCCATCAATTCCCATTGTCCAATTCAGAAAGTGTTGAAAACCAGAAGAGAGAAGATATGAGAGTCCCCTGAGTTCATCAAGCACGCCGTGACGTTTCTCCCCCTCCTCGGAAGCGGGTGGCCTATCTCTCTCTCTTATTCTCTTTTCTTCTCTCTCTCTTCTGTTTATCCCCGGAAGGTAGAACAAAACGAAAATTCTCGCCAAGAAATGGTACTGAGATCGGAGTTTCAGAAATGAATCGCTGAATTCGTTCCTCGTTAGTAAGGCGTTCAACTTTCATGGTACTCGCGAGGAAGCCTCTCACTTTTGTTCCAAATCAGCCAACGGGAGTTCCGCAGATGTGGCAGTTCTTGCCAGGGATGACCCAGACTTCTTTGCCCTGCTTGGCGCAGGTCGGGCAACGCGCTCCTGGCATCTGTTGAGGAGAATTAGTGTCAAAGACCCTGATGCACGAATTGCAAGTCATTTCTCGGGAACACTCACAGTCATTGTGATTAATGTGTTGATAGGATCGATTTTGCGACAGGCGCGTGACGACGTGAAGATTGCGACAGGCAAGGATATGGTCTCAGGCTGCTTTGAGGGGTTTTGGTGGAGGAGATTGGAAGTGAGCTTCCACTGAGCAATTGGAAAGAAAAAGTGTGCGTGCTTTTCTTGGGTAAGTTTGCGGTTTGTTTGATGAGTATACACTTCGAAGGTAGGTGCCTTGCTGCTCTTTATATACCTCGTTATGGGATGGGCTTATTGGCTTTCTCAAACATCCATCAGACCAGGAGACACTTTGTGTATCCATCGGGAGATCATCACTCTAGCCCGGACCTGTCGATTGGAGACACGACTAAAATGGAAAATTATGCATCCAAGGTACCAATCTACATGGACCCTGGTGGGCAACAAACATGTCATGTCGGCCGCATTGATTATCCAAGTTACTCGGATCTTCCCGTTCATGTCTTGCATTGCCCGACCCAGCCAATGAGAACATCATTTCGAAGCAATTTCAGCTGGGAACTTGCAATGTGTGATAGATTCATGTTCAGCTATCCCAGATGTGACTAGTGATCATGAGAAGCACCGGGCAACAGAAAGTTGAAAAAAAAAAAAAAAAGCCAAATGGAAAAGATTCCAGCTAAAGGAAAAAGAAAAGCGCCACTTGTGAAACGCGATATGGGAACCGTTAATGCATCCAAATAGTGGAAATTCGGTATTCGGTAGTCTCCACTCGGACTTGCGATTTGCACTTGTGACTGGTGCGTGACTGATGCAATACATTGATATCCCGCTCAACAAATCTATACATAGCTATCAGAACCCAGCGATGCTGGGTGTTGCAGTTCAGAATGAGCTCCAGGTGCTTGACCGCCTATGACTGACAGTGTATAGGTCACACTTCATCTAATTTGATGTTCGGAGCTAGCGAGTTGAGAGACTTGGCGCCGATTGCGATGAATTGATGGCACAGCTATGCAGCAGTTTGTACTGTATACTCCAACGGATGTCCGAGTACTACCAACCGTAACTAGCATGCTTAACGTCCTTCCCGAAACGTCAAATGAACAATCGCTTCCTCCGCAACGGTCACACCCACACTGCGCAAATCTGATTGATACTCTCGATGCGCTGCTGAACGATGAGCGGCAGAAAGGGTCATGGCTGGAAACCTCATCAAGCTAGGTCAGATTTACCGGGTTTGTCAGGCAAGACATGGGGTTTGCGACACCTGGTCCCACATTGGAGGGCCTAGCTTCGCTAACTGCGCCTAACCCAAGGAATGCCGAGTAGGATGAAGTTCGGTGCTTCACATTGAGCTATCTCTCCTCTATGCTTGGATAGCGCATTCGACAAGTAGTATTATACCAGAGTCAGCTATTATCGCTTGTTTGCTTGCTCACTGTCTTTGTCGTCATTCCGCCCCTGCGATTTGCTACTGCAAACCAGAATTAATTGACGGGATCGCGGGTAGATGGGCCAATGATCGAGACGGATCAGCTACATTAGACAACCAGTCTGCTGGGACGAGAGGGAAACCTGGATATTTTTCAGTTCTATACATTATCGTGGCAGAAAGAGTGCATAGGCACTGCGACTGCATCTCCAAATGCCGGCCCGCCCTCCTTTGTTGTTCGCGGTGCCTCAACGCTCGTCTATCATTTCTTTGTTTGCTATCCCCACTCGGGCTTTCTCCTATCTCCTATTCATTTCACCATTTTTTCTCCTATTTCTTCTTTCTTTGTTTTGTCTTCTGGGCTCCTCAGTCCGAATCTGTTTCCAATTGCGACCGAAAGATATTAGTATGGAGTAAAGGAGCCTGAAAAGACCGATCTTATGCTATCCATGTCTTGCATCCCGCCGACGATGCTTCGCTGGTGGAGCGTTGACAAGTGAAAGTGAACCTTATCGCAACCGGGGAATCTCGCATTCTCGCACTCCACAACAGGTTCTGATCGGTCTCTCTCTCTCAGCTCTCAGCCATTGGTCTCAAAAAGCTGCGTGACCGGTGCTACGCAGCTCCGGTGTTACTAGTACCACTTATCTGGCGCAGCGCCTTCGATTGTAATCGGATACATAAACTGTGGGGCCGTTGAACTTATTCGGTTGCCCCATCGGATGACAGGAGATCGTCGATCGAGGATGTTTGTTGTGCCTCAATCCTGTTTTTTCCCTTACGCGAACGGCACAGGCAGCCAGACAGTTCACAAAGGGTGCCAGAGATTGAGTCTCTCGGGCAGTTCAGTCGCTCAATTGAATGGTCGACACCGCAACTAGTGCAAAGTTGCCTGTCACACTAAGTCGGCAAACCCCCAATTCCAGCCTCCCCCCATTCCAAAAGCGGCACTTCTGATATTGGTCAAATCTGACCTGTCACTTTTTATGTTGTTCTCCTTCTCTCCGCACGCCCCTCTCGATTTTCCCAACTCTCCAGTCAAAGACTGAGAACGGGTTGCCTTTGTCCCTCCCAACCAGAAGGATTATCGCCACAATCAATTTACCCCTCCTCCTGAATCTTTCTTGCTCAATGCCTGTCGCTTCTCTTTTTGAGTTCCTTCGTATTTGATCGCGCACGCATAGTTTCATCATCCACACCTTCGGGAGGCGCCACACCGCAAGTTTACCATGAAGACACTGCATCTAAACTCTGTACTCAATGCAGAATCTCCCCAAGTGCCCGCAGCTCTGGTCGCATTCCTCACTCTGTGAATCGCGATTGAGCCCCGGAGGGGTCTGGTGGGGAAGAGGGAAGTCTTTTTTTTTTTTTCATTCGCGGCACTTTATGATTGATGGACAGTGCATCTTGCATATGCCTGCAAGCGCTTGACGTTCCCAATATGCATGCTTACTTACATCATAAAGAGCCGTCTACTTGTGTTGTCCCAGGTCAGAGAATAGCTCGCCCCATGCCTTTCCTATGGGGAAGGGCTGCCATGCGCACCAACTCTGCAGTTGTCACTTCTTTGTTTGGCTCTGATACTTCAGGCATAATAATGTAGGGATTCGTCGAAAGTTGGGATAAGTTACTGATCACTCGAGCCTGCCAGCTTGTTCTTCGACCTCATTGGGCTTTCTGGGTATGTCGTACCGCGTGGCACAGCTCGTTTGACCCCTACACAGCAAACCTGACTGGATAATCTTCTGCATGTGGCTTGTGCCCAATGGCCAGATGTGCGGTTATAGTACCCTACTTCTCGGTGTATCTCGGGGGTTTAAAAGCCATCTCGAAGGCTGCATAGCTTTATCGTCTATTGACAGGGGTTGATGGCCGCACTTCCACCGCTGATGCGCCCCCCGAACAATTCCTTTGTAGTCCCAATGTCACCATACCTGAAGTCGCTACCGGTGATAGTAATTAGGTATCACCCCGGTCGCAAGCACATGGCCAAGCGAAGCAGCACTGGAATAGCACCTGTCGCCTTCAAAACATCACAGACGGGTTGTGTATCTCCTTCTAGCCGCGTGCATCTTCGATATGCTCATCTGAAACCCTCGACGTGATGCTCTCATGGCCCTTTTCTTTGCCGGGCTGGACAACCTGGCTTACCTGAGAGACGAAAACGTGCGATGGCGCGGTCCGGTGTCTCTTCCTCTCTTTCACAAGCTCCTTAGACGCCTGCACCGCGCTCTTGTCCGAATTGGTGAACAAGTAATCGATTTCTTCCAGCGTAAAGTTCGCCGTCTCGGGATAGCAGAAGTAAATCACCGGGACGAAGGCCAAGTTCGTGCACATGAAGATGAGGTAGGCTTTCCACTGCAGGCGGTTGATGATGATCGGCGTGATCATGACGACAAAGAAGTTCTTCATCCAGCATCACCATCAGTATTGATCTTCGAATTCCCACACGGTCAATGCATATCTTAGAGAGGAGTATGACTTACCCAGATCCAATTGGAAGAGATTCCGATGGCCGTCCCCTTCGCGCGCGCATGGAGAGGCAAGATCTCCGGGACATAGCACCATGGGATGCAGTTGACCGAGGCTCCGAAGATGAGCATGTAGAGGAAGAAGAAAGCCACCGCGGCAGAAGAGGTTGCGTGCTCGTTGGCGTGGCCTTTGAAACTGAGCAGGACGGACACCATCATCATGCAGATCCCCAGGCCGAATGAGCCCCAGATCATGGGCGCTCGGCGGCCGACCCGGTCGACGAAGAAGGTCGGGAATATACTGCCCACCACGAACATGATCTGGACACAGCCGCCCAGGATCATGGAGAGGTTCTTGCTGAGGCCGACGTTGCTGTTGAGCACGGTGGGGATGAAATAGCTGTGACTTTTTAGTGGGGAATCTTCCAACTTAAAACCTGGGGATGTGTGGAACATACACGACGAGATTGATGCCGCCCATTTGGTTCATGAATTGCATCCCGTAGGCAAGAAGCCTGTAACCGGCTGGTTAGATGATGACAGACAATGTGGTTCTGAGGTAGGTCAGACTTACACTCGATGGCCTGTCGAGACCTTGTCATGTTTAAGGATGTTCCTATAGAGGTCAGTAGGGCGGCCTCTCCTCGAACTATACCAACAATAACATACCTCCACTGGAACTCCCCATGCTGCGTCTCCACGGCAAGGGCTTCCAGAATCTCCGCCTGCTCAGCAAGGATCTTCGGGTCATCTTTAGGACGACCGTAGACATCGCTGAGGATTTGCAGTGCTTCTTCGCGACGACCTTCCTTGTAGCAATATCTCGGAGACTCGGGCAACCCGAACACGAGGATGACAACCACCTTGTCGGCGCGTAAGTCATCCGTCTGCCCCTCAAAAAAACAGGGTCACTCACAAAGGCAAAGAGCATCTGGCATGCAATCGGAAGTCTCCAAGCGATTTGACCGCCGACGAATCCCATCCCATAGTCGAAGAAGTAACTGCAGGTGGCCTCAATCAGCATGAAGCAAGAATCGCCTGATCGCGCGGCCTGCAATGGCTTCGATCGAAAAGCGACGTACCTGATGACGATTCCCACACCCACTAGGA